TGCTCTCAAACACAGAGAAGAGACTGAATGTGTATCTGGTTCCAGCAGTGAGAGATGCGACTGTATGTGTCACTGGTCCATCTCCATCTGGTGAACTGATGTTTGTCTCTGATCCATTAAACTGGAGAACAAAGCTGGTGCTGTTGTTGATTTTATTCCACTGCAGAGTGATGCTGCTCTCATCTTGTGCATATTGTGTGAGATTTTTTGCATTTTTAGGAGCTAAAAGAAAGACAAAAGACATGTTGTTAAAATCTAAGAATTACATATGATTTGAGAGTCTGGATATTTATACTGAGGTGGAGATCAAAATCTTAAAGGAAAATCTCAGTCTCTTTTTAGCATCAACCTGACATCAGATGCTAAATAGACACAATTTTCCAATGTGACAGTCAAATTTCCTCTCTTTTGCTTTTATCTTACACCTGACTACTCATGACTTTAGCTTTTTGTGCTTGATTGTTATAGTTCTTCATGTTTTTAGGGTCTACTCACTGTGAATGTAACCACTGTCTCACATTATGACAGTACTGCAAATAACTGAAAGGTTACGTTTAAGCCCTTTCTGATTCAAACTGCGCTGCTCCCTGGATGTTGGCTCTCACCAGAAACTAAATTTCTCTGTGTGTAGTGGCAATGTTGGTCATGCATCTTTTTACACTTTGACCTTGATGGAAATCAACCATGTGGACAAATTCACACGCTCACTGCGTGGCCAAGGAACAGACAAGAATATACTCCACCTCCCAGAATTCCCTGCATTTTTTTTAAATGATTTGTTCATATCAGTTTAAAATGAACATATCACATGTTGATATAAACAAATGTTTTGAATGAAAAGGAGAAGTTGGAAGAAAATAAAATCTTATATAATTTATCCCTTCTCTCAAAAGACAATTCACTATACTGTAAGCAACTAAGCATCAGCCAACTATCCATATAGATACATCTTTATGCACATAATAGGTAATGTATATAAAAAACAATTAAGATATATTATCTTTGTCATAATACAGGAGTATTGAGTCAGTATACTTCATAATTCTTTGATAGAATATCATATTTTATCACTTTCTTGAAAGTAAAAATGTATCTACTCTCTTTGGTTTCTTTAGACAGATTGTTCCACAGGTTTCACACCCAGGTGTAACGTAAACCCATTCATCAAGGATCCCTTTAAAGTATCGGACCTCCAGTGACATTAAAAAGCTTTAAGCACAGAAACAAGAACCTGCCTTCTGAAGATGTTTATAATGGTAGGAAATGCAGATCACTGCATTGCAGAAACCTCGCTAGACAACTGTCCTGAATTTGATGGCCAAAGGAAAAGCTACAAGACTTGTGGCTCCTGATGTTTGTGTAACCGGCAGTCGTATTAATCGCGTGCAGAAGGCATATTTGAACCTGATCTTCAGAGAAATTGAGGTCAGCTGTTTGTGTATTCAAGATCTTATCACTAAGAACAATGATCTTACTGTACCTTTCATTGACTTAGTTCCCATGAAAAATTGCCCTGGAATCTGAGATGATGTGCTGTCCCAGTTCTTCAGTTTCAGTCAGTGTACCTGGACTTTATTTGAACCTGAGAAACCCTGAGCTATATTCACTGAAGAGGGATCTAAGGAGGAGACTTTGGTTCTGGGCAGAGACATTAGCTTAGACGAGCGATACCCAAGTGCTGCCATCTTGAAACATTCCTTCGCTGGAGAAGGAGTGCATCTAAAAGCTGCAGAACAGTAGCTCTGTCCTCTAAGCACAGCTTGCTGCAGTCACTGGTGAGAGTCCAACAATGAAGCCAACCTACCGTGTCTCCCAGATCTCCAAAGGCCCAGACGGTGCTCTGCAGTCTGGAACAGATATAAAATGTGTTTGTTTAAAACTTACCAGTCGCTGCTGCAATGCTGACTCCACTGCTTCTGATGCTCTCAAACACAGAGAAGAGAGTGAATCTGTATTTGGCTCCAGCAGAGAGAGATGATACTGTGTAGTTCACTGGTCCATCTCCATCTGATGCTCTGATGTTTGTCTCTGTGCCGCTAAACTGGAGAATGAAACTGATGCTGCTGTTGACTCTATTCCACTGCAGAGTGATGCTGCTCTCATCTTGTCTCAGTAATCTGAAGCCTTCTGGATTTTTAGGGGCTGAAAGATGAGTAGTGAAATCATCCCATAGTTTTTAGCATTTCATTGGCCCGATTTTACACCAAAACAAGGATGTTGTTTTCATTGTTCAATCCAACTGGATACATATTCTGTATGTGGATGTTTAACAAATATTTGGCCACAATGGTTCATAAAGAATTAGTTATTAGCTGCACAATTAAGGAAAATCTAAAATGGCTTTGTGCAAGATGTGGAAATAAAATAAAAGTCACTGAATTATATTTTATCAATGAAAATAGAAATGAGAATTGGATTGTATAATAATGTTATTATAATATCACATATTTTACTGCTCTTTCCCAACCAATTCCCTCTTGCTCGCAAATATTCCTTGACTTCCTTCATAGCTACGTTTCTCTGTTCAGATTGAATGCGTCGTGCAAAAACAGTCAATATAATTTTAACACATTACGTTGTCTGTAACAGATGAATGGTAAACTCAGTGAGCACGCTTCATCAAACCATCCTTCTTGGTTCCCAAAAGCCGCAGCCGTACACGTTGCACCAGCCGAGTTTGGCTGACCGTTAGCCCAGTACCGAAACAGAGATGTGCTGCCATCGGACCACAGCTTTTCACGATATAAGCCAATCCACACATCCTCTGACCCAGTCAGGTTTTTTATTTCATTGTTTTCTGTCAGAGTTCTTACACTGTGAAAGAAGGAGAACCGCAATATTATAAAAGTTCATTTAAAAAGGAGAAGAAAAAAAATCACACACCGGTCACGTCTCTCTTGTCTTTGTAAAAACAGATTTAAGTTTGCAGTTACTGATTGGACGTACCATGCAAAAAAAAAATCTGTAACTCAGATAAACTCATGCTCCTTCTCGCCTTGTAAAAACACCAAAAATATTTTATAAAATATAACAAAATAGCAATAAAAAAAAAACTTCAGTATCAGTGTTTTCTGTATAACCGTCTGATGAACAAGTTTGTATTTAAAGCATCAAATTCTAGTTGGCCGATTCTCCAGTGTTATTTCAGTATTTGACATACCTGACGAGATCGATGTAAGTCCCTCTGCAGTGTGTCTGAGCTGCAGTCCAATTTTTGTATTCATTAACCAAAACAAAGGATGGTCTGTTGTTTACAATACCTGTGAAGGGAAAACGTTGACAACATTCCCATCAAGTCAAGTTAGGAAACTTTATATATGTAGGGCATTTTAGAAACAAGTCGATTTAAACAATGAAAACAAAGTACATCTACTGCATTGACTGGTTGCAAAATAACAACATCAGAACAAACTTCAAGTTAAAACCAGTTTAAAGTTTATTACGAAACTGGGTCGTTCATGGAAGAAAAAGAGAATGTTTGACCTGAGTGGTATAATCACGAAGCAACTGCGTGAGTTGATTGACTATGGTGAGGGTTGGTGTGGTGTGCATAGCTACATGAATAAAAATAAAATGATAGCTTACCATTGTAGCAGACAAAGTGAAATGTGCTGCTGCAGGGGTAGTCGTGCCATTTCCCCGTGGAGGAATACAACACAACACAGTTCTCTATTCCACCAATATTGGTAGGTTCTGCACTGTCCCAGTTTCTAAATGTTGACGCTCCTTCCCCATAGAAGCTGCTGTTGCTTAGAGACCACTTCCAGCTGTTTACCAATTCATCATAGAGGCCAATCCAAGCCTTTCCTGTAACAATTGTAGAAAACAGTTTGTGTCTCGAACTGCTGAGTAAGACAAACTGATAAGATCCATGCTCTCTCACGAAACTGGTTTTACTAAAGAAGTTATCGTTAACCCACCTGTATAGTTCAAGTTTTTTACAGCTTCAACGTCAGCTGAGTTTTCGATGGTGGCCATGTCCGTGTAGTTACGTCTGCAGGCAGTTTGAGCATTTCCCCAGTTCAGTGATGTCCGAATAAAGTAGTAGTGATACGTTCCGGCAAAGCTAACTTGCAGCAGAGTGCCTGGAAAAAATGAATATGTACATATTTATGCAGACTACTTCTGTATAAACCCTCTTTCTATTGAAGAAACACACACAGGAGCAAAACCTTTCTGGGACACACTCATATTCTGACGGAAAGAGAAACTGGAGGTAGTGAATGTTGCCTGTAGGGTCAACAAACTCTTCCCTAAGTTCAGTAACACGGTGAAACTCTACCTTCAGACAGGCGTAAGCTTTTAAGGTCAGGACAATGCTAGAAATCTTAATGTGTTGGTCAGTTGCACAATTTCTGCTTGTGGCCACTAAATTGCACAGTTTTCTTTCAATACCAATGCATGTGAACACTTCCCTCAAAAAAAAAAAAAAAATTGCGACAGCTACACTTTGAGTGTAAAATGTGTAATTTTAATTTAAAAATGTTAATATCAAACATAAAACGGCAAATAGATTTCTTTCCTGGGAATTAAAGTATATCTGAGCCTTTAATGCACGCTGCCTCATTTCTCATTGCTGAAGTGTCATGTTGTAAAGAACCTCTGTCTGCTTGCTTGGTGACAACAAACTATGCAAACAATCTTGAAAGATTGGCATGCATATTAACTACATAAGAAGAAAAATATTTACACTTTATTTTCCTCATTCTAACTCAACCTTGCTTTTTCAGAGGTGCTGGTAAGTCAGTGACCATGATATAAAAGAAGCTCAATATTATAAACAATCACAAATAGATATAAAAAAAATACATTTTACAAACCAGTGAGCCCAACGAAGATCAACCAATGTTCCATGAATGAAATCTTAAAAAAAAACAAAGAAAAGAAAAGCAGACTGATATTTTCGACATGTCTAAATTTGAAAACATGACTTGCATTTCACACTAAAAATATGAAACACTAATTACTGAGGTTATTGATAGTTCTTGGCTTTCTATTACTGATCTCTTCCCACTTAAAAAATATCTTGCATGTGGTGCAAACCACATGATACTGGAGTCTGCAGCTGTTCAATTAAGTTTTTACAAGTGGGCATGGTTTCGTATCAAGAACTTGTCAGATTGATTTTCTTTTTTTTAAATGTGACATTTTTCCCCACGTTCTCTCAAACGGGAATGAGGATGTGATGAGAAAACCAAACCAACTGAGGAACTTAGGTGTTACGGAGATGTTACCTGAGGCTTTGTTTACACAAGATTTCTGATATTATTCTCAGTCGACCTGGGAGTAATTGGGTGTGTGAGTGTGTGTATGCCATCCATTTTTGTATGTTTTTACATTATGTGAGTGGATGAGGATGGGAACATGTGATTGTGTCTGTCTGTGCCTGTTTATGTCAGGTTTTCATAAATCTACAGGTCACGTCAAAAGTGGGGCCTATTTTCCTCATGTCACTTTGACTGGCCGAACAATTTATTTATTTCTTTACAAAAAGACATTTTACACTAACTTTGTTTAGAACCCTGTGGAATATGTGGGACATTTTGAGTCATTTTGCTACCACAGCTAAATTTGTGACCTCCTAAAATTAATTTAAAAACTAATAATAATAATAATAATTTTGGCACATTTAGGGAGGCAGCGGCTTTGACGCGGCCTGAGCCCACCGTGCGCCACATGCCTGGCATGTGGCGCACCTGGAGAGATCAGGAGCAGAGAAAGAGAGAGAACCGCGGAGGATCACAAGCAAGTCCCGCAAAAACCCAGAACGCAAGAAGAACCCAAAACTAACCTGGATCATACGGCCTTTGGAAGAGACAGACGGGCACCAACAAGAAATTGCGGGGAGCCCACAGCACGCCTTCACCACAAAGCCAAGTGGAAATAGTTCTCATATGAACACCTGCATCACTCACCGTAAGGCAGTGGTTCTCAAAGCAGGTCTTCAGGGATCACAGCCTCCAGTTTCCCTTCTGCCAAACACTTGGCGTGAATAAATGAACTTATTGGATCATTTTATGGCATGCAGAGGAGGCAGTCATTTGAATCAGGTGACAGAGGCACAAATACTCCCATGTGAAAATCTGTTCCCCCTGCTGCGTCGGGAGCGCGCACAGCTCTCTCTCTCTCTCTCTCTCTCTCTCTCTCTCTCTCTCTCTCTCTCTCTCTCTATATATATATATATATATATATATATATATATATATATATATATATATATTACTCAAGTAAAAGAAAAAGGTAGTAAAACTACTCTAGTACCTTTTCAAAAAAAAGTTGTAACTTTTTAAATATCGACATCAGGTATCTGATATCAGGCTACTTGTTAACAGGCTTAACGTGCTTAGCTAGTCATCTTTTAGCCAACATTACCTGCATCCAACAGCTTTACTCAACTCTGTCGGTTAGTTTGGGGGGAAACTGTGCAAAGTTCTTTGCTTTTTGCGGGTTTTCTGCCATGATTCTAACACACCTGAGTACTGCAAAGGTGTAAACCCAGTGCGAGGGTCTTAGCGCTCATATTGCGTTTAAAGGCGGCTTACAGCTTAACAACTTAAACAGTTTTGACTGCTGAAAAACGAGGCAGAAGGCACATAAGTGCGGAAGCCCCCTACTGTATCAAATCATCAAATCGACATAGGAGTAACAGAGAGTTGGCCACTTTAAGGTAAAAACAACAAACAGCTTCCAGTCCGGGGAAGGGGAAGGGGGTGGCCGGTGGCGCAACTGCACATTATTCAAAGGAACTTCAGGGTGAAGGTCCGACGTTTTCCCTCCTGCCAAACACCTGACTTGAATAAATGAACTTATTAAACTATTGTTGGCATGCAGAGGAGGCAGTCATTTTCTCTGCATGCCAGATTATTTTAGACAGCTGACATATTTGGTTTCACCCATATGACTTTGCAAATAAAGAGCAGCAGAAGAACAAACAGTTAAGGAGTTTTTGAAAGAATAATTATTTATATTAGTTCATAAAATATCCCTGTTTTTAAACTACATAGACAGACTGAGTTATCAATAACGGTATGAAGAAAAGTAGGAGTCTTGAGAAAAGGCTCATTGTTAGGATTGAGCACATCCTCATTCTTGACTATCAGTTACCAAAAGCCAACATGTTTATTCATGTACGTTTCACTTTTTACTTGATCTTTAAGGTAAGGTTAAGATAAGAGAATAATCCAGTTCAATCATGCAGTAACAAATGTTTTAATCTGGTAGATTAAAATTCCTGGCAGTTTCACCCAAAGTTTACTACATATAGGGGGAATAATATCAGATTATAATCCTCTTAAGAAAATTTTGATTCCTATGTATCAATTTATGTTACTCAGAAATATCCAACACATTCTCACTCCCAACTCGTCACATATTGACGCTTGGGCAGGTACCCTCGGCGTCACATATTGACGCCGAGGGTACCCCCTTGGCGTCAATATGTGACGCGAAGGGTTCTCTCATTGAATGCTGTACCGTTCCCTAAGCGTCCGATACTGACGACTTAGGAACGAATGGGCTCTTTGCACCTAAGGCATTGACGTCACATCTCCAGGAGCTAATGCGGCTCACTTTTTTCCGCTTTGAGTTNAGCAACAGGAAGTAAGTGGAAAACGGTTAACAGAAAGAAACAATGGATTGTGCTTAGGGCCAAAACGAACCAGGACCAAGTGTTTACAAAGAGAATAACACATCAACTTAAAGTACAAAACAAAAACCCAGAGGAAAATGTCTGTAATTCATGAACCAGAACTATAATTCATCTTTATATAGAGTGTTGGTATTAATGCAGCATTTGCTTACAGTCTTGTTATTTACCTGGCCAGGTCAACATAATTCTGACGGCAGAATTTCTGAGCTTCTGTCCAGTTTACTGAAATGCTACTCAAAACATAGGATGGTGATCCACCTACTGTACCTGTAAATATATGGATAAGATGTAAGAAAATAATAAACTTGAATTGCTGTATTATATTTTATCTTTCTATCTACTTACCATTATAGCACACAAACTGCCTTGTTTCTGTGCACTGAACGTCATCCCATCGGCCCACAGAGCCATTAAACTGAACACAATGCTGTTGTCCATACTGGTCATTGGGCTCGCCAGGATTCCAGTTCCTAAATGAATATTCTCCAGGACCATAGAAGCTGCTGTCATTTAGGGACCATTTCCAGCTGTTTATTGTATCATCATAGAGACCGATCCATGCCTTGCCTAAAACAACAAAAACAAAAAACCCAGAAATGTTATATTAAAAACTCCAGTGAAACATGTTTATAGTCAAATATGATAAACTTTCACTAATAATGAAAAAATAATATGGGGTTTGTGTTTATGATTTTGTTGTCTTCCTTTTTCTAACTTAAAAACTCACCTGTGTAACTGGAGCTGGTACTTAGAAAATCATTAACATCAGCTGTGCTTTCAATGGTGGCCAGATCAGTGTAGTCCCGTCTGCAGACACTCTGAGCTTCTGTCCATGTTAGCGACGTGTTCACAAAGTAGTACTGATGGCTTTGGGCGCTAGCAACACTGAGCAGGGCGCCTGAAATAAAACCAATTAAACTTTAACAGCATTGAATTACAGGCATTACATTCATCTTCCTTATTTTCTCCAAGTGTTTTTTCTGTGGAAAATGTCAGTAAAAATAATGATTAAAAACACTTAATAAGCCTTGTTAGCCAAGCTTAATAAAAAATAACTCAGTTACATTTTGTTCACTGTCAACATTGACATTCAGGTCTACAATTTGTCCATCATGAGTCCATTCTAGAATTTGTTTTAATGCAGTTTCTGTCACCTGTGTAGTTTCTTAAAATCTCTCTCTCGTCTATTCAATGTCACATGCTGTTTTTATTTTAATGATGTAAAGCACTTTGAAATTCCTTGCTGCTGAAATGTGCTATACAAATAAAATTTGATTGAATTTGATTGAAAAATGACTCGGTAAGCAAGAAGAAACCACAAAGTAATCCTTCAAAGCAGGTTTGTTCATCTCCAGTGTTCTGGCACTAATACACCTAAAATGCAAAATTACCTCCTTTGCAAATCAAACTTCTGTGTTGATGAATTATTAATTCAGTTGTTTTGAATAAAGGAAAGATGTAAAACATGGTGGACAGTTTCACTAGAGGACAGCAGGCTTTAAAGTCATTATATGATTTAACTAATGAAGTTGTTAGGAGAAAAACTGCCAGCACAACGCAAAATATGTAAACACAAAACCAACACAATGTACTCAAAAATGTATAATTTAAACTAAAGCAGATATACAGTTACTAAATGCCAGAATAATGAGCGAGATAATCGTTTAACTTTTATCAAGTTAAGTAAGATTAGTATGCCAGTAAAATATTTGCAAAATCCCAGAAGAGGATTTCATTGGTTTATTAGCCAAGATCAGCGTTAAATGGAGGTTCACCTGTGGACACATTGTAAACACGCCGCTTAAACGCGCAGAACAGGCAAAACTTTTAAATTTTGTCCTATAGACCTTTGCATAGATGCTGAAATGGTTTAATTTTCCTCAGTGAAATAAGTCCCTTACCAACATCGGCTAAAAAAGCATTTAGTGAGAAAAATCACATTATTACTTCACAGGAAAAGAAATAAGCCAAACTACAGATTGAAAATGCACCTAGAATTAATACTAAAGCAGGTATACATCTCAGTTACATTTTTAGTAACAGATGGTTTTTTTTATGATGTCTTTTTGTTATCTTTTGCGAAATAAGGTGGAAGCTGAAAATTTAATGAAAATATCGGTTCAAGACATCACACTTTAAGTTATAACTCAGTAACAAAGTATTACTTCTGAATGGCACTAATAATTAGCAAGAACAAACAGCAAGTTCATGTTTTGGAGTAGACATCACAAAGCCCTGAACTAAGCAAAATAGAAAGTGTTTGTTCAAGCTACAAAAAAAATGCACTACTAGACCTATGAAGAAGAAATGAGCAGCAATTTATGGATGGATACGCAAAACAGTTTATCCTTGTCATCTGGTCT